ACTACATACTGAACGTGGTTACTGTGCGAAGAAATGTTGACACGTGGAGGTGAAGACCGGAAACGGGAGAAAATGGATTCATTGAATTAAGAATGAAATGTTTTTATGAATGGGCACTTACTACAGGCGCCTTAAAGACTGGCACCTCTGTTGCGTGGTCTGCTGTAGCGATAGATTCCGTCTATACCGTATGCATTTATTTATCAGTTCAGGATTAACTATTGCTCTGTTGTTTCTTGTGTTTATCATTCTCCCATTTCAAAGTCGACATCGAAAGTGAAATATAACGGCCAAGGGTCTACGCTCGAGCTTAACAAGGAGTGCGTTCATAGTCAGGAATCTTTCCGAAGTAACTTACCTATGAGCTATATAGAAACTAGCACGCGATAGAGGGTCGTGGCAATATGTCTGCAGGTTGTATATGGAACCGGGATCTCTCCGACAGATGCCGTAAAATACCCTCATGTCGCATCTGTACAAAGAGAAGCCAGATGGGTCCTGGATGTTTTTCTTCAGGTGTAGTAAATAGCATTCCCAGGGGCAGATTAACTCTCAGACGAAATAGGCCATGACCTAGAGCCCCGCCTTATCTCTCAGCTGACATACATAAAATAATCAGCACAACAAACGAATGTGCTTTGTTTTTACACTTCATTTAGCCCATGGCAGTCCAATAATTTGTATGTTTCCAGGTTCTATACATGAGTTTATTCCACAAGAAACCAGCATGAAGAAGGTAGCAAGCAGAGTAAGCAGCTATCCCCCTACTTTACTTTGGTGTCTTGCTTAGTTTATTCTGGACCTTGAAGGCGGAGGCGACATGTTCCTCCGAAACTGAAGTCCACTTTCAGCGGACTACACAGTGAAACATCGTGGAAGGTATAACTCTTCCTACAAGGAAAGGTTCTTGTAATCCTATACGGAACAGGTCAAGAGCTTAATACGTGATGTCAATGGTACAGATCAGCCCTTTGAAATTTCGAAATGTAATAGTCAGTGTTGGGGGGGGGGGACATGTTGACACGTCACAGCCTGAACAGCGCATCAAATTCTTGCCGAGACCAGCTCACTTGCAGAACGGTTCTTCACATCCCTAGGGATAAAAAACGAGTGTTCTTTACAAATTAAGTCCATCAGTACGGGTCCCTTGAGCCGTGTTAGAGACGGAGCTGGAATTACTGCACTTAATTGTCAGACATCGGAGTTCAGGAATGCCGGTTGCAGCAAGAATAGGTACAGTTTGTCACGCGCAGTGTCGTAGGCTGGATACGAACTGAGTCAGGTTCAAGTGGCAAGGCTAGAGAATTTTGTCTGCATTTTCAACTAAACTTAACTGCTGTGAACCTGGATGTGTGGGTGAAATATACACGTGCGTAAGTTTATCTGAGCTTTGTGTTCTTACTTAAGGACACTGTCAGTCTCGTATGGTATGTAGCATTAAATCGAGCGTCATTATAAAGTTGGAAGACGTTAAATGCATCTGGAAAAAGTAAGAAATAGCATGATAATTATTCCAATCATAATTTCTTTATAAAATTCTGGCATAGCCGATATTCGAGAATGGAAAAAGCGACATATTTTATTCTCTAAAATGGATGCAGTCTGTGGGACCCCAAAATGTGCGATAATAATAATATAGATATACAGGTATTTATCACTTTCACCAAGAGAATGGCGAAGAAAGTAGTGCAGAAGAATAGCAGCAAGAATCAGAAGAATGAAAAGCAGATATTTTATTATTGCTAGTGGGGTGGGACTAAGTCCCTTGTACTGCGGCCACTTCTGGCCTATTGTACCAGCCCCAGATGATAGGTGAGGGTGATTGTGGAGCAATTGGTGGAATGAAGATTGGCAGGGGAAACCGAAGTACTCGGAGAAAACCTGCCCCAGCGCCACTTTGTCCACCAGAAATCCCACTTGATCAGACCCGGGATCGAAACCGGGCCACTGCGGCGGGAAGCCATGGACTAACCGCTTGAGCTATGGCGCGGCCGTAAAAGAAGAGATAATGAAGATTAAAAAGAATAGTGTTCCTGCTTCCCTTCGTTGCTAGGAGTTTACCTTCATTCCGCATAAGCCTTCATGGCGTGGTGCATCGGGACTTTACCTTGTATTTCTATTTACAACGAAATTATCGTTCTACAAACGTGCTCGTTCCTTTTTATGTAGTATTTTGTCTCGAAAACATCTTTGATGTTGCGTCATCATCAAATAATGAAGCAGACCACGGTTACTGGATTCTGTTTCCATCATACGGTAGGAACCATGCCGGAGACCTTGTTGGAAACAGGACTTTTCTCCCGTGAGGTTCCCTACTCAGGGTATGATATGTCCTCGAAGATGTTAGACCAGTGTTTCCATAATTGCGTTCCGCGGAACCCCAGGGTTCTCTGAAATGAAAATAAGGGCGCTGCAAGAAAATTCCATTACAGTTTAAGAAAGAAGAAGCAAAATACAGGAACAGACTAAATGCGACTTCGGCTTCCCAGTATCAAGCCAAACAATGCGAAGAAGAAATGAAAAGCTACTTTTCGCACTGAAAATTTTAAATACGCTGCACACTCTTTGATAAGCTTCATTTTGCGTGCATATAAAATTTGTTTTAATTTCTAAATGTATGCAATTAAGTAATATATCGATCTCATATCCTCGTAAACATTTATATTATTATCGTTACTTACTTGTGGTGTAGGATTTTAGCTTCATACAAGTATATAAGAAATTTTTTATTACTTCTTTTTTAATTGAAATGGTTTCGTGCCCATGACAGTGGTCGCGCGGTCTAAGGCACGGAATTTCTTCACCCACTCAAACACTGGGATCTTGGGTTCGAATTTCACTCGAGCCATAGATGTCTGTCTGGATTTTTCTGTTTGTCTTGTCCTACGTAGGTAGCGTCCTTACGACGAGCTGGTCGCCCTTCCAAGGAGCCCTACCGACTGTCTATAAGATTCACAATTTCAGAATTAATGAATCCTCAATGGGAACAGATCAGAGAGGCTAATCCGTCAAGGTAGTAGAAGAATAAGAGGAAGAAGAAGAAGAACGGGTACCGTGGCCCGATTTAGACAATACACCCCTACCTACGTACATTTAAAATGTCTTTACTTTGCCGTAGATGTCAGATGGAGCGGCGCCGAATCATTACGTATTTCTGCTGAGATGGGTTTGGTGGTGCAGCCAACACTTTACCAGCAGGTACGAGTATGTGGCTGTTCTGCGAGTGGACTCACGTCCTGATCACACACCGTAATGGAATCACCACACCAGTTATGATGGCAGGAGGATTTCTTCCGTGAATGCTGTTGACCTCTCATCAACGAGTTCTGCTGTATTGCTCCACTGCTTCGGGGTCTGCTGGCATCGAATCAAATGCCACTAAAGCAACTATCCGCCTATACGAGCATTCGCTGTAAATGCGGACAGATATAAAGGGGTAACGTAGCTCCAATTTAAATTCATATCAGCTGATGGTTACTCTTCTCCAAGTATAATTAGAATGATCTAGTCAAGGAGGATAAGATGAGCATGCCATGTAGCACGAATTCTGGAGAAGAGGAATGCATACAGGATATTGGCGGGAAAGCAAGATAGAAGAGGCCACTGGGAAGACCAAGGCGTGGGTGGGTGGACAATATTAAAATGGATATTAGAGAAATAGGATAAGATGGTATGGATTGGATTGACCTGGCTCAGGACAGGGGCCAGTGGAGGGCTCTTGTGAATGCGGTAATGAACTTTCGGGTTCCAGAAAATGCTGGGAAGTTCTTGAGTAGCTGCCAAATTGGCGGCTTCTCAAGAAGGGCTCAGTTCCATGAGTGGGTGAGTGAGTGAGTGATCAGCTGATGGTTAATATACAATTTGTTTGCGAATTTTTTAAGTCTTTTTAAATGGTCAGAACCGTTTGTGAAGGACAGAAGTTGTTTTCAATATAGACCTACATAGGGAATTTTAACGGGGACATGGCTAACATATAAACACCAAAGAGAATAACAGCAGAACTAATTCAGTTCATAATCTTTTCCTTTTTGCTTTCTAAAATCTGACAAATAAAATACATGACTAATTCTATCGATCAAAGCCCTTCTTGAGAAGTTATTAGTCACTCATGGGATGAGGAAATTTCCAGTCCTTTTAAAGAAGCCGACCGGTTAAACAGAAGCCAGAACTGGACCCTAACCTGAGCCACATTAATTCATTCCACAACCTCACACCCTAATTATTTAACATTTAGTTTATTATTGCCCGTTCATCTACGCCTAGGTCTTAGAAGTGTCTGCTTCATGATGATTATTTACTTGGCTTACTCTTCAACCCTGAAGATGGAAGCGACACACCGCTCTGAGACCCTCAATCCCTACATGTCTATTTAATGTATGTTTATTTAACGACATTTTAAATTTCTACAACTATTATGACATCCAGTGACAGAATAATGAATTGTAAAGGATGAGGTAGGAAGCTAAGAAAAACCACGAAAAGCCTTAGTTGGGATATGTGGCCAAGGTAAATTTGTCCCTGTGCTTAACTAATTAAGCCCTACACCATAAAGACGTATGGGGGAGCGGATGTGTAGTTCCACGTATTCTTGACCTCGGCACTATTTCGAGGTGAGTGGTCAGCTTCACGTCCAAGCTGCTTTACCCTAAAGGTACTCATTGGATAGGAGACTTGGTGGGCCCCAGAAACGGTCTGGACGACATGGAGAAGACAAAGGTTTTGCATTTACCGGGACTCGAACTCCGACTCCTCAACCGTCTAGCATGCAGGTAGTCGCTACCGGTCGCTACACCGACTACGCTATCCCGGCGGGATATGTGGGCTGTGAACCAATACACGAACTGAAAACGAAGTAGAAATGCTAATAATTCGGTTGATGTTATTACTATTATTATTGCTTTATTATCATTCTAATTATAATTACAACCAGAGTTTGTGTGACTATTATACACAATATGTTGAAAGCAACACCACTGGGAAGCACAGTAGCAGCAGTCCACGCGGCCTGCGATGTTGCACAGAGTTACATCAGTTCCGTACAGCGGTTGCACCGAGAAAAGTGAGCTACGTGGAGGGTTTGACGTTTCCTCTGCTGGCAAGCTTATATACGGCGTATTCGTCGACTTCGTGTGTGAGTAGTGACGAAAGAGTCTTATCATTATATACTGACGGAACAGAACACGTTCTTACTGCAGGGAGTTTGTTTGTGGGTGAGTACTACACTATTCCGGTTAGAAAATACAGTTTCTGTGTACGCACCGCGTAATTAACCTGGTCATATTATTGATCTCAGGTCACAGTCGAGTGACTAGTTCTTGTGGACACGATAACGAATCTTTGGGTGCCATAGAAGGCGACTTGACAGGTTTATATGGCTTTCCTCAGTCCCTCCAGGTTAATGCTGGGAGAGTACCTCGATTAAGCCACCACAGTTTCCTTCCGAATCCTTCCCGGTTCATCATGTTTTCAGTTTTCAGTTCGAGTGTATGTAGTCTAGATATTGAAAATGCCGCTAAATTGCACAAAAAAAAAAGCGAAACGGAGCAGGTCGGTGTAGAGGTTAGGTTTCAGGCTTCGAAGGATTTGCTAACTGTCTGCTTCACCTTCTTTTCTTAATTGGCATTTTCTTCGAACTTGACGATGGAGGCGACATGTTACTCCAAAACGATGGTTGACGTTCAACGGACTGCATGGCGTTACTCGCATACCCCGCCATAGCTCAAGCGGTTTGTCGCTGGCTTCACACCGCGGTGGCCCGGGTTCGATCCCGGCTCTGGTTAAGTGGAATTTGTGGTGGACAAAGTGGCGCTGGGGCGGATTTTTTCTGAGTACTTCGGTTTCCCTTGCAAATCTTCATTCCACCAAATTCTCCATCATCATGATCACCCGGGGCAGGCTACAATAGGCCAATCAGTGGACCCAGTTGGACTCCACCCCCCGCTAAGCGAATTAAAAAATTAGAAAATAAAAAAAAATAGTACTCTTCGCTTCAAACTTTATTGGGAATGTACTTGGTTCGAATCTCAACAAGGACACCGGCTGTCCTGACTGAAGTCGTTCGTGGTTTTCATCAGTCCCTTTAGACATTCCGGAATGTTACCTCACTTAGGCCACCGCCATTTCCTTCCAGATCCTTTTCAATTCATCACTCGTACCATTCAAGGGAAGATATCTTGATATTGATGTCAAAATAAACCATACAAGGCAAGGAATTTCTGGACTTGTCTACTGGTAGCTCCTCAAGAGGGTCAAGAAAGGCTCAGCTCTATGTACTTCTTTATAATATTTTAAAAGAGCTACCCTGACAACAGGTTCACCAGCAACTTTGCTCGAGCTGTAACGCTTCTGTTTGTATTTGGTTCGAGTCTCGGCCATGACACTAACCATCCAGACAGGTATTTTTTGGTTGTCTTTAGTCCTACGAGTGAAATGCTGGGATAGTACGTATAAGCCAGGACCTCCTCCTCCTTTACATTTCCAGCTAAATATTCACTAACCATTCCACGGCATTTAATCTGATATACTGACACCATCGTTAAGTAAACTGCAAAAATACAAAGTTTGTCTTTATTGGTGGCACAGGATATGATTTCAGAAGTCTGTATTTCACAATTTGTTGACTGCGTTGCTTGTGATAACACTGTGACGAGTCTATTACCGGACAGAAGCGCCCAGTAGCTTAGGCGGCTAGACAGTGACTTCTCGCCACAAATACCCGATGGCTTCATGTGATATTCACTGTGAACGAAGTAACGTTTCAACGTGGTTTGTTTTATTTTCCCATGCTAATGATCATTCTGCTGTTGCTCCATGCTCATCCATCACCCCTCTGAGGTGTGTCGTAGCCTTGACCAAGCAGCACATCAGCTGATCTCAGCGGCCCGGCGCTTGTTTACACAGGAAGGACTGCAAGTTCGGTTAAACTTATCTGGATTTTCGTTTTAAGAATTGTTTCGAAAAATACACAAAGCTGCAGCCACGTATTCGATCTTTATAACTGAATCCTCTGCTAGCCGGGATCCTATAAAATGTTAAATGAAAAGTTAAACGGTAAAATTGTCCCTGTGTTTAATTATTTAAGCACTGTACCATGAAGACATATGGAGAAATGGAGGTATAGTTCCACCATTGTTGACCTGGATATCAGTGGTGAAGTTTACACCGCAGCCACTTTAACCCCGGGAAGAGCCCCCGGCACCCATTATGTAGGAGGCTGTGTCTGCCCCAGAGCCGGTCTGGACGCTGTAGAGAAAAGAAAAATCTTGCCCCTGTCGGGTATGGAACCCAGGCCCGCTAGCCCATAGCCCAATGATATCCGGACTCCAGAATTCTGGACTGCTCTCATTACAATATGCTTTTGTTATTTTACAGTATATGCGAGCGGGATTTCATTAATTTCCTCACCTTCTCCTCGAAGAAGGATAGTAAAATAGGAACATTTGGGAATATGTTCCTCACTGACTGCGACTGGTCAAAAAGAGCCATGAGTGTAGGGTGCTCCTCCTGTGGTCGGTTCCAGGCAACATTAAGTGTGAAATAACTTCCACCTGACCACGTTAAGGTAATACTTCATTTTGTAGGAGGGTTCCGAAATTTGAAGTCCACTCTGTGGCAACCCTGCTTCCTATTCAGGAGCAGCCAGGCATGACTCTCGGTCCGGAAACCGACTACATTGTCTGGGATTTCCCCAGGCTTCTCCACACATACTGAGATAGTGTCTCAGGTTAGGCCATGGTCACCATCTTGCACATTTTTCAGGTGAATTAACTTACCATCCTACCATTTTTCTGCTTACCGCGTGGGCCTAGGCCATGCATTCAATAAAAGCCTGAACTACAAGTGCAACGCTATCAGTATGTAGATTATACGAATACAATATCAGGCGTTATATAACTTAGATACTGACAACGCTGTAAAATAGAACACAAAAAAGTACATGGGTCTGCTTACACAACACAACGGAAAATCGGGAGTGACCTTGCCGAATGCCTTCTCTTTTTTAATTAGCCTAAGACTAAAAAGAATAGGCTATATTGAAATCTCTTTTAGACTATCTTTGTGCTAGAAAAAGGCTCACCGGAATTCTCCTCCGCGATCCGATATCAATGTTCAGTTTTGTGAACAGAATTATTTTAACCAAATTTGATCATATTTAATAGGCTGCTTGAAAGGTTTGAACATATGAGGCAGCGTGTTTAGAAACCCGTTGTTAATTGGTGGATAATCATCTCGATTGTTCGAAAGATCTTTGTTGGCTGTCGAATATATAAGTTTGGAAATGTACGCACAGCGTAACAGTTCTTGTTCAGTTATCTCTAAAACCACAAGGATCTTGCAAGATATTTATCACAGCGAAATGGTGTTTTGAAAAAAAAAATGCTGTAGACAATGAAACACAAATTTTCTGTCCTTGACGTTTCTTTCATAACTCATTTGGCTTTCGAGATAATACTTAGTTCTAGAATTGTTATACTGTGCATGTTGTATTTTCTACATTGTTTAGTTCACACTTCACATCGTCAATTTGGATTTCTCGCATTTTTTAGTTTTTTAATTCTTGGTGTGGGATGAGACTGAGTCCACTTGGTACGTCGCCCACTTTTGGCCTGTTTTACCAGCCCCGAATGATAGATGATGATGGATGTGGAGGTCAGTAGAATTAGAATTGGCAGGGGAATCCGAAGTACTAAAAAAACTGGCCTAGTGTCATAGTTTTTACCTTAATTGCACGTTGAATTAAACGGATTTAATGTCTGCAATACAACACCAACATTCACTGGTGTTTGCATCACCCGTCATAAGCATTGCCCCGTGTGGTATCTCTTTTTTAAATGGATGACTTCCCACTGATTCCATGGAGCGTACAAAGCATAGTGCTAGCGCACAGCGTGTAAACAAGTTTCAACTTCGCCCAAGAGGTACTCTTCACTATTCGATACCACCTCCCCCCTTCGCGGAAATTTTCCTGTAAGTCTCTCTTACGAAACTACGTATATTTTACTTTCCATTGACATATAATACTATGAACATTATTTGTAGTGAATATTTTATTGTCTTTAGTAATATTCCCACTCGGTAGCGTAGTTGGTTGAGGCTCTATGCTACAAGCCGGAAGGTCGCGGGTTTGATTACCGATGAGGTTATTGGATTTTTCAATTGACCTAATCCTTGCAGCCGCTCTATGGCCCTGGGATCGACTCAGCCTCTAAGAGAAATGGGTACCAGGAATCTTCTTGGGGTTAAAGGGCGGACGGCTCGTAAGTCTGACAACTTTACCGCCAACTGTGATTGTCTAGAAAATGTGGGAGCCTCGACGTCTCAGAGCCGTATGGACCTTCGCGGTCTGTTGCAGGGTTGACTTTACTTCACCTTTGCCTTCAATAATCTTCTTGGATCCTCGGTATTATTTATTAGTACCGGCCACCTGCTCACGCTGGTTCCTCTCTCGCGGATTTTTCTATCCTGAAGATGGAGGCGATACGTTCCTCTGAAACGTCGATCCATACAAGATATACACGGCGCCACGTCCCAGAAGACGGCATCCTTCGTCTCGATTTATGTAACAGCCCCTTTTCGACTGTATAGGTTATGTGACGTCGAATCGGATACTGATAGCGAACAATGAATTTGGAAATGATATGGAAGGAAGTCATGATGAGCCATACTAAGTACTATCCCAGCATTTTCCTGTAGGGACAGAACCCGAAACCTAGTTCATTACGATACTTTCATGCGGATTTATTCTTCTATTCCATTTATTCTGTGACGTTAATTTTCCAGAGAAACGTCTGTTCTTGCGAGAAGTATGGCTGAGGACGAGGCTTTCCCCGCAGAGGCCTCACAGATCTCAAAGAGCGTACAGGATGCATTGGAGTGTCCGGTGTGCCTGGAGTACATGACACCACCCATCACGATGTGCTCAAGTGGTCACAGCGTGTGCCAGGCTTGCAGACCGCGCATGACCAGCTGTCCTACTTGTCGACGTCCTCTGCTTGGGATCCGCAACTACGCCCTGGAACTCCTGGCTAGAGAGCTGCAATTGCCACCTAGACCTGCAGATGCCCCTCAGGCCACTTGCTTGGACACCTGTCCCTACGAGCCGGAGTAAGCATTTCTTTGTTAACGGCGAACCAGCAGAACCTGCACACATTTCTGTGTGCAAATGAATGTTAACTGGATCTTGCGTTCATACCAGCGTCACAATTACCCGAGGATAAAGCGACCGGGGCTTGAAGATAATTCATGGAACTATACCTCAACTCAGCCAAACGTCCTTATCCAGTTGTGCTTAAATAAGCATAGGAATATCTTGCCTTTTATCTGAATGGAATCACATCAACCAAAACGGAAGAAATCGTTAGTGATAGAGTGTCGTATATATTCAGAAGACGTGAAGGGTATGATATTAATATACGGCATGCGCATGCCCCAATTGAAGATAAAAGTTGTGATACATGGGAGGAATCAAAGATTATTCGATCAATTCCCTGGGCACCGTACGAAAAGTATGTTAGGTGGTCCAAACGCGAAACAAGGAAGAATGTGTCTTGAACCGTGACACCTCTCAATGCATAAATGATTAGTTTACCTACTCCTGTTTAGCCAGTTACACTTGGACTTCTACTTCTTCTAGTACATTACAAAGGGGAGGGGAAATATTTTCGATTAGACCAATGGAAACGAGAGTTTACATGAAAGTAGTAACGATTATGTGACTGTAGTCGATCACGGTGGCCGCGCAGTCTAAAGCATGAATTTTCTTCGCTCGCTCAAACACTGGGATCGTGGGTTCGAATCCCACTCAAGGCATGGATGTCTGTGTATGCGTTTATTCTGTGTCTATATTGCCCTTTGTGTCGGTAGCGGCCTTGCGACGGGCTGATCCCTCGTCCAAGGCGTCCTACAGTTTGTGTAAAAAAGATTACGGAACCGAGAAAGAGGCCAGGGCCTAACAAAAGCTGTAGAGCCATTGGTGAATGAGTGAGGAAACTGCTTTTAATTGTTAGACCTGTAAAATATCCACATCACAAAATTCACCCACTTGGATTCCTCCTGCCTGTCTGTCTGTCTACATGTAACAACTCCAGAACCACTGGGTGGATTCTCAGTACATTTTATACCGTGAAGTTGTTCTAAAATTAATCGGCACTCTTGGTTAAAACTGAGTATAAATAACGGACACTTTGCACGAAGGGCTACATAAGTTTCTGCATATATCTCGAACGTAACTCGCTGAATACTTATCCGCTCGAAGAAGTCTAAAAAACTCAAGGAAAATGGAATATTCCTTATGTCCACTGATCTTTCTGCTTTGGAGATGATTAAGGAAGAGTGGTTGAGCGCTCCAGACCGTTTCTGCTGTATTTCTAACAGGTCTTTATATTGAATAACACACTGGTTGACCTCACACTCTGCAGAATTTATACAGTGTTGAATGAGACGGTTAGATAATGCGTGGTGATTAGATAGGGATTTGAAAGGATGTCTTAGTTGCGTATTTCCTGGGATTCGCATAAAGAACTGAGGACCATGAAAGTCTCAAACATGGTTACTTTTGACCCGGCTGGGATTCGAGTTGGGCCACCTTCCAAACACAAGTTTAGAGCGTTATTTCTGCATCTGTCCGGTTACTTAGCATTTCAGTGAGTTCTCTGTTCGATCGTCATGAAGCTGGGACAATTGGTTTGTTGTGTTTTCTTACCAGGTATGGCTGCCCACTGGAATGTTCGTGGACAGGACGACACTCAGAATTAGGGAAGCACTTGTCAGAGAGACACTCAGACAAGATTCTGGAAGGAACAGGAGGGCAAAGTTGTCGGTGGGACCTGCCCCTCAGTGTTAAGGACACAAGGTAGGGAAGGAGCGAAGACAGCAGTTCTTCTTGTTTGCTGTTTGCATGGAAGCGAGGGCAAGTCGTGTGAATCATCTACAGAGCTCCTCATTCTAACGAGGCCTCTGACACTTGGTATGGGAAAGTGTCCGACTGGAGAAGTCCCTCGCCAGCTGTTGGGGTTAGGTACCCGAGATGGCGAGTTGGCAACTTCGGGATTTAAGGAACCGCGAGCCGCTGTTGGCACCCATCATAATCTACGCGGTCTGTTCCTTCACTGAACGGAACATAGTACGTCATAACATGTTTAAAAATAATGCCAGGATAGCTCATCGGTATAGCTACGGGCTGAAAGAGCAGGGTTTGATTCCCTGCAGGGACAAAAACCTTTCCCTTTTCCACAGTTTCTAGATCTCTGAAAACACACAGCCTCCTATCCGAGAGCCTATCCCTCCCCGGGGGGTAAGCGACCGGGGCGTAAAGCTGGCCGCTCACCACCATATAATACACGTAATGAGGTCAAGAGAAAAAGGTAAAAAGGGTAAAGGTATCCCAGTAACAGGCCATAAAGGCTCATAAGGTTGTAAGACGTCGAGGCTCCCACATTTTCTCTAGAGAGTCGGCTCACAGATGGCGCGTAAGGCTGACAACCTCGTCGCTATATGTCAGCCGATTTTCTAGAAAATATGGGAGCCTCAGCGCCTCACAACCCTATGAGCCTCCATGGCCTGTTACAGTGACAGACAATGGAATAGGTTTGTACATTTTTCTTCTTGTTAATTCATGTTATGTTATAAAGGTTCCTTGTGCTTAGGGTGATCTTCGCGTTCGGAAAAGTGTTCCTGTATCAACAGAGACTTCACACCATCAAAAGAGTGTTCTACATCGTGGTGCAGTATGTTGGACCGGAAGAGGAAGCGTCCAGGTTCAAGTATGAAGTGGAACTCCGCTCAGGCAGCGGTGCACAGAAGATGACGGTGATTGGGAACGTCACACTGCACTACTATCAAGATATTAACGCCGTGTACGAGGCAGGGAATTGCGTCACTTTGGACTATGACGTAGTTAAGAATGTAGCAGAAGACAAACTTATCTATTCAGTCAAAGTGTTCAAGCCTAGCATATCAGTTGTGTAGACACGAAATGAAAGGAGAGAACAGACTCAAGCGTGGTTACAAGGAAAATTTCATTTTGCTGTTATTCAGAGTGTGTTCTTCTGTGTTGTGACATCGTATAATCATGTAAGTGGATACCAATATTTCCCGGGAACATATATTCACCATCTTGAAGGTTAGAGTCAATGTCCGCTTAAAATGCTAGACGTTGTTACAACATACAAGAACAAACTTTGCCATAGATACCTGTGAACTTATTTCAGCTGTACAGTTACTGTGTTTCTGGACATTATCCATCGACCTATTTTAGTTTAAAGCACATGAAGTTTCGGAGACAGGATTCTGTCTCCGTCTCCAGATAGAATCGTTAGAGCTAGTCTCTGTCTCCAGCCCAGCTGAGTAGGTTCTACGTGGAGACGGAAACAGAATCCAGTCTCCGAAATTTTATGTGTTTTAAACAAAAACAGGATGATGGATATTATCCAGAAACACAACAATTTTATTATACCATCGTCACAGACTATTAGATCTCATTATTTCAAGAGTGTCTGTTGCTGGGGAACTGAAAGTTTTCTCTGCAACTGTCGGTTCTGGAGTTAATGTAATGAGTTTATTTAGGCTTTGTTCGAGATATTATGACAGTTGCTACGGATCAGAACCAAGAAAGGCATAGTCTTTGCGATGGAAATTTATTAGCTGTTACATCATATTTGAGAAGTTCAGGATTGTGATAATTTAAATTGAGATATTTAGGATCTTTTACGTTTCCAGACTGAAAATGGAGACATTACCTGTCTTTACGTTTAGGTTTTTTGCCGTCTATGTGTAACGTCGGTTACTATTCACTCGTCGTTTTCCTTTATTGACACTACACGTTTCGGCCTAACAGGCCATTTTCAGGTGTACAGGTTGTTGTGAATACGGAACATGCTGATCACTGTAACATTCCTCGAGATATTAAGCAGCTTTGCACCTACAGAATAAACGGTATCATAATTAAAATATCAACAATATAAATGTCCGTTAAGATCAATGGCTATGCTTGGGCGGTTTGCTCCTTTTACAGCAAGTTAGCCTACAGGCCCACCTACCTTAGGGCAGGCTGTGAATTGGCTGTCTTGTACGAATGACGTAGATTGCGCAGGTCGAGAACTATTTCCCGAACTGTGGTAAATGGGATTCATTCTGAGTCACATATCTCAACGTACTTTCTAATTTCAGGAGTAAGATTTTGTACTGCTGCTCTATACCTACAGCAAAGAGCAAAACAAATACAATTTTGACCAGCTAGATTGGGCAAATTACTCATAGGGTAAAGCCGAATAAAGCGAAGGCACATAAAGAAATTGTTTCTGTACACTGGATATTAAAAATGGTGGTTATATTCCTGAGCGCATCATTTTCATTGGTAGGCCTGCTGTGAATTTGTTTGGGAGTATTTTTTTTTTCCTTGACACTACGGCCCCAATGGGCCTAGGCCTACCTCCATGACCTTCCGTTCATTTCGGGTTTTCTCGATCTTACACATTCGGTAGGACTCCTTGCGCGGGTGATCAGCTCGTCACAAGGCCTCTACCTGTACACAAACACAGAAAAACGCACACACAAAAACTAAACATCCATACCCTGAGTGGGTTTCGAACCCACGATCGCGGTTTCCAAGCGAGCGAAGATAGTACATGCCTTAGACCGCTCGGCTACCGTGACCGGCTGTTTGGAAGCCTATAAAGCTGAAAATATCTTGCAATAACAAGAAATATCCCTGAAAGATTAGTTTGTCTTCAGCACCAGTTTCTCGCAACAACACAGCACCATTGCCGAGGTAATATTACTTCAATTGCTTGCTCTGCAGTTTCATGACAGTGGATAATTATTTGTTGTATTTTTATTTATCTTAGCGAGAGTTTGATCCAAATTCAAATACCCGAAGAGTAATTCTCACCGAACTTTCTTAGGTAAAAATAAAATAAAATTAAGCTATCCCTGTAACAGGCCTCGGAGGCGCTTAGGGTTTTGAGACGTTGAGGGTCCCACATTATATAGACAATCGGCTCAAAGATGGCGGTAAGGTTGTCAGCCTTACGAGCCGGCCGCACTTTACCCCCCGGGAAAATTCCTGGTACTCATTTCTGTTAAGAGGCTGTGTCGACCCAAGGGCCATAGTTTGGCTGGAAGGATTACGTCAATTGAAAAAAAATTCAATGACCTCATCGGAACTTGAACCCGCGACCTTCCGGCTTGTAGCATAGTGCCTCAACCAACTATGCTACCACGTGCCCCCCACCGAACTTTGTAAACGTAACATAAATTTCGAGCTAAAAAAATAATATTTAATCTGGCTTAAGCTTTTCACAATGACAGTGATTAATTTCCATTTCTACAGTCTATCAATTGTCCAGTATTAAATTTAATGGGGACCCGTCAAACCGAAGTTTGCACAGGCCTCTAACTGTAATAGATTTCTTTCTTCGAATATTAAGGTAGGCTGTATGAGCTACATGATTGGAAGTATCCGACTATCACACATAGGACACAAATATACTATATGTATGTATGTATATATAAACTCGGTGGCCTGTATTCCGCAAGCGAACTATACCGACCGAGCGACCGCCGCTTGTCGGCACGGTTAGTGCCAACTTTTAGCGGATAGAGGGTGTTGCGTGGTCAGCGCAACGAATCTCCACGGCTGTTAATTTTGGTTTTCTAGACCGGAGCCGCTATTTCCTTGAAATAGGAGGCTTGGTGGGCTCCAGAGTCATCCTGGACGCTATGGAGAAGAGAAAATATTTCTCCTACCGGGAATCGAACACCGCTCGTCCAGCACATAGTCCGTCATTATATAGACTGAGCTATCCCGGATCATCTCCCCCTCATCTTTCGTTCCATTTTCTTCCAGTGACTGTACAATGTGCTCCATGCCGGTTGCGAATTATTGAGGTCACCTTGAGCTAAATTCTGCCATCTTCTTCCGATCCATGTCTTGTCTTGGGACTGTCCGATAGTTGAACGTAAGTTGACGTGGCCAGATATGTTCTGGCGACATGGGCCAAAAGACATTACAGTAAATTCTGCCTGCAGCTGCACATATAATCCTATACTTCATTAGAAATAACTGTGGGCTGCTTTTATACTCGGACGAGGAAGTGGATACGACACGTTCGAAGCCTTGTTCACATTGAGCCAACGTCACAAACACTAACGATAACCATCTGACAATACCAGGTATAACTGTAATCAACAGAAGATTGTTTTGTGTTGCTTTTGAAAAACGTTGTCTGAGTATATATGTTGTTTTGTTCGTGTACTACTGAATTCGTTGCTTTATTCATGGTTATGTGCTTCACTGATTTGTCGAGTGAATGAAATAAAACTCGTTTTGGCAGAGCAGCACTCCCCGCAGTTAATTGGAATACGGTATTATTATTATTATTATTATTATTATTATTGGGAAGAGACTGAGTCCACTCGGTACTGCAGTCATTATTGGCCTATTGTACCAGCCCCAGATGATAGATGATGGTGATTGGCAAGGGAAACCGAAGTACTCGGAGAAAACTTGCTCCAATCCCACTTTGTCCACCACAAATCCCACATGACCTGACCTGGGCTCGAACCCGAACCGCTGCGGTGGGATACCAGCGACTAACCGCTTGAGTTAAGGCACGGCCAAACCGAACCAGTTGGTGTAAACGTACCGCTGTAGACCTGTATTCGTTGGGTGGTCGGTTCGAATCTCGACTTGGATCTCGTGAATCCTGAGAGACCTTTTTAGTGATTTTTCTTAGTCTCTCAAAGGAACTGAGGGCATAGTGTCACGATTAGGCTCCTACTGATTCCATGTAAAGATGCTACAAGATAAAACTTACAAAGACAAATCCCGATGGCATTAATTAACAAGGTTACGGTAACATGAAATAAAAACAATTGTTTTAATTAATTTTAATACACGAATCCCAAAGAGGACACAAACATTTTCCATCACCTCACACTTTTGTTCCTTTTCCTTGGTGTTATTATTATTTATGTCAATCACAGGGGACGGGATAACGTACTCGGTACAGCGACTGGCTACGGGCTAGACGACCAAGGGGTCGGAGTTCGAGTTCTGGTAGAGTCAAGAATTTTCTCTTCTCCACGTCGAATAGACGGGCCCTGGGGCCCAGCCTCCTATCCAAAGGATACGGCGGGGCTCTTTCTCTGGTGGTAAATCGGCCGGAGCGTGAAGCTGACCACTCACATAAACCAGTGCCGAAGTCAAGAAAGTATGGATCTATACATTCCCTCTCCCATACGCCTTCATGGCATTGTGCTTAATTAGTTAAGCACGGGGACAACTTTACCTTTTTGTGTCAATGATAGTGTGAAAGGACCGATCTAGAAAACCGAGATTAACAGCCGTGGGAATCCGTTGCGCTGGCCACGCGACACCCTCTACCCGCAAAAGTTGGCACTAACTTCGCCGACAAGCGGCGGTCGCTCGGTCGGTATAGTTCGCTTGCAGACTAAAAGTCACAGAGTGTGAAAGGAGGAATGAAATAATATTAGGATTTCAAATTTCGGCATGCGCGGTATGTACTTTCATATATCTTGCATGCAAAAAGGAAAGAAGATGGTAAACGCTGTGTTGTGTGTTAAAATCTCCAACTGTCATTTATGTGATTGGCGTACCCAATGAAGAAACCACGGCTTATTTCATACATGTTATCGAAGATAAATGAACATTTGTTTTGAGGTCTGATGCGTTGTGAGTGTTACCGCGAATAAACGATTAGTGTGAGTGTAGCTGTTTAAGTACATGACGCCTATGGTAGTTATGAAGGCGTGCATATAAATTTCTATGTTTTGGCCCCGTATTTTAATTTTTAATCACACGGTGATTGGATTCGGCAGGCGGCTAGCTTGCTATATTGCCCAGCATTATAAAACAACATGAACGTAATTGCGCTTAGTGGGGGGTGGAGTCCAACTGGGTCCCCTCGGCACGGCGGCCGCTGATTGGCCTGTTGTAGCTTGCCCCGAGTGATTATGATGATGGAGAATTTGGTGGAATGAAGATTGGCAGGGGAAACCGAAGTACTCTGAGCAAACCAGCCCCAACGCCACTTTGTCCACCACAAATCCCACTTGACCAAACCCGGGATCGAACCCGGGCATCCGCGGTGGGAAGCCAGCGACTAACCGCTTGAGCTGTGGCGCGGCCAACATGAAAGTAGCTTAATGTCTGTTTCTCTCTCACAGGTAACATAGTTTTTCGCAGTGCCTGACAGATGTCGTTATTCGCAAGACGGCCACGAAGCTTCATTCCATGACACATGCGCGAATTTTATACTCTGTATATTAAAGTCTGTTAGTATATGTATGAAAACGCTGAATGGTTCTTTCCCGTTACAATGGGTGCAAGTAAAGCTATGCCTGTAACAGGCCGTGGAAGCCCATAAGGCTGTGAGGCGTCGAGTCTCCCACATTTTCTAGACAATCTGCTCACAGATGAAGGTGAAGTTGTCAGTCTTGCGCCTCTGCCGCCCTTTACCCCCAGGAAGATTCTTGGTACTCATTTGTGTTAGATGTTGAGTCGACCCCAGGATCATAGTACGGCTGCAAGGATTAGGTCGATTGAAAATCTAATGACATCGGGAATCGAACCCGCGACCTTCCGGCTTTTAGCATAGTGCCTCAACCAAATACTCCACCGCGTGCCCCCACAATGTGTAAAGAGTGTCACAGAATTTAACACTTAAATTATATTAATACACGGGAACAAGTTGCCTTTTAGCCATGGCAAATCCTTGTTTAGGCAAAAGGTCGTGGCCTGTCAGTTCATATCTCAGGGAAGGTGTGACACTGTTCAAGTGACACACATTTTTAGGTTTGGGAACAAATGTCAAAAAGCGAATAAGACAGATTTTCGAAGTGTGTTCTGTGTGAATTTGTTCATCTCATCTCATTGAACGAAGCGCCCGGTAGCGTAGTTGGTTGAGGCACTATGCAACAAGCCGGAAGATTACAGGTTCGATTCCCGATGAGGTCATTACTTACTTACTACCAGAAGTGGCCGCAGTACAAGGAACTTAGTCCCACCCCACTAGCAATAAAAGAAATAATATTTACTTACTTACTTATGGTGCTGAGCCCTTCTGGAAGAGCCGCCAATTCTGCAGCTACTCGAGAATTCCCCAGCGTATTATGGGACCCGAAGGTTCATCACCGTGTTCACAAGAGCCCTCCACTGGTCCCTATCCTGAGACAGATCAATCCAGTCCATACCATCCCATCCTATCTCTCTAAGATCCATTTTAATATTGCCCACCCACCTACACATTGGTCTTCCCAGTGATCTCTTTCCTTTTGGCTTTCCCACCAATATCCTATACACATTCCTCGTCTCCCCC